CTCTCTCTCCCCCCTTCCTCTCTTTCTCTCTTTCTTCACAGTTTTTCCGCACTGGAAACATTAATTTTAAAACACTTGTATTATAATATGGTATGTGACAAAGATAGGACATGGTATATAATAATGGTAGAAAAGAATTAAGGTAAAAACGCAGCGACATATGTAAGTCGAATTTATTTCGACTAATAAGTACATTATTTGGAACAAACTATTTGAGCAGGTTCCACTAACAATGATATTGGATATGCTCGCTTTAAATTCAATGGCCTAGCAATTGAAATGAACACTGTGTTAAACGTTCATAACGTTTTTACGTTATAAATGTATTTGCATGTAGGTAAGTATAAATGATAAATGTCTACTATTATAAATAAATAACGTTCGTGTAAATTCACGTAAATATCGGTATTTAACCCTTTGAGCGCAGAGATCGTCGAATTTAAACGCTCTCCGGCGACAGCATACGGTTCGCGGTAATAATGGTCACTGTGGACGGAATACTTTTTCGCATAGCGTTTACCCTATCGATGTATCCATTCATTATACAATGTGTAATGAAATCACTGTCTCAATCCTTTATTTACGCTAAATGGAAACGGAATGGAATATTTTCATTTTTTCTTCAAACCTATATTATTTATTTAAAAATGTTATGCTCTTAAAGTCATCATAAGACGAGAAGATTTGAATATTTTAAAATTATATAATTTGGTCAGACATTTTTAGGACAAAGAAACAAAAAAGGACATGAATAAAATAAAAATCTCATGATCAATTAAATTAACAAAGCATTCGCATATAGGATAAGATATGTGTGTACGAGTTATGTAAGTGTAATAGTGAAACATTCGACACTTAATTATTTTGATAAAAACGAGGAAATAGCGAAATTATGCAATGTGCAAACGTTTTTATATATAATATAAAAAGTTTATATATATGCTATCGTAAAAAAGAAAAAGGTGTGGCGAATATAGTTTACTATGGACGTCATCTGTGTATAATAATGAATAAGTGAGGGTATACAAACATATATGTATCAATACATATATAAACCCACTGCAGTCAAAGGGTCAAGAAACGAACAATTCGTATCGATTAGACCACAAATGTAAATTTCATAAACGTAATGTCTATGAAATAATGATCGATATTGAATCTTCCAAAATTCACTAATTATCTTCTTTCACCACATCCATTCCCCTTTATTTTTCCATTAAAAATAAGAGAGAAGATTGTACAATGGAAAATGGTGAAGAAGAAAACAAGAAAATTTTAAGAAAATTAAAGAACAATAAAAGTGTATATATATACATGATTCATCTTGGAACATGCAACTTATAAGGAAAGGATAAGGAAAGGAATTGCATGAAATGCGTTAAACTCGATCAAATATCATATAAAAGTGTCAACAAATATTGTTATGTTCATTATTCTTTTTTCTATACACATTTCGTATCTCATGCGAGCCTCAAATTAAAAGTTCATTCAGTCTCCGACGTCAGAATCTCCATCTCCAATAGCATAAAGAAAGTGAAACGCGATTCCTAATAATGCTGTTCCCAACAAATCACCTGCTGCAGTTAAATATGGTATTGCAGAGCTATCTGGATCCATTCCTCGTATCCACATCCATACAACCATTAATTGCGTGATGTATAATAATAATATTACCTAATAATCAAACGAAGAGACGTTTCACGCCGATTGCTTGATACGAGCATCGATAGGTAATTATCTATTCACCTGTATTACAGCTGCGGTCAAATAAACGATAAGAAATATAGGTGTGAAGGAAGTATGACCGGCCTGAAGGTAACTGATGGTATAGCCAAATATTAAATGACCAGGTATCACCATTGTTAGTAAAACTCTCGCAGTCCTTGCGTGTCCACCTATAACGCATTCGCATTGTATCTTATGCATATCAACATTAGAGTTTATTGTTGTTAATTAACATACCTTTTGTACAAAAAATGTAGAATGGGTTGAAACGAATAGCGGGTATTTCTTGACTATTAGCTCGGTGATCTTTATGCAAAGACGTTGATATTCTACTAGCTTGGACAGCGGCCAAATTACCGCCAACGCCATTTATTACCAGTTGAAATACTGCTATACCTTTGTAATTGGATACCGTATAATCTAGTATTAAACCACCCATACTAAAATTAATAGAAATATCATTAAGTGATCGATATTCAAATAAAAATTATGCATATTCTTGAAATATAAAAAGCATGAGAAAACCTGCTAATTAACATTGCACATATTACAGGTGTCCAACCATAATTTAATATCTCCTTGGTAAAATGATTCTTAGCTGCAATATAATACCAAACTGGTGTGACAATGATATGAAATGTTATCAACAGAGGTGCTATCCAAGATGCATAATCTGAAATAATGCGATAAACATTGTTAGTAGTGTTAGTAGAGAACTAATTGTTATACTTAAAAATGTAAATATAATTTACTTCTTTACATTAACTACTTATAATGTTTTCAGTGTGTTTAAAACATAAGTATATATATATATATATATATTTACCTGCTGCTTCAAAAAGAAGGGATGCTATTCCCGAAAGAAGCATCAAAGTGGTTAAATCACCGAGAGAAGCTGCTATTGGTGTAGCTATATTATCTGGATCGATGTTTATCTGTTTGGACAATAATATAACTGCAACCATTACCAAGCTCAATAAAAAACTTGCTACTGATGCAGTAACTAAGGCACTAGCGCATAATAAAAGCACATGACAAATATCAAATTGTGCTTCTGGAATCCAACCAAGTATGATAGCGGCTAGAGAAGCTAGTAAACCTACTACGGTTGCTTGACACTGTATTAAAGCAAGATTTCCAATGATTAAAGTCCATTTCTGTTTCCTTGTATTCATGTGTCCAAGATTTGCATGAGTTGAAAATCTAGAGGCTAATGTCATCTCCAAGTTTCCTTTTAAGCCGAGCAGTGCTGGCACCAATATATACACCTCGGATATGGTTTTATATACAGGCCAATGCTATGAAAAGAAATCAACCAAGGTGTGCAAGCACGCTTTTTGTCAATGTTCTTATACAATGATTCTCTTAAATTAGATAATCATACATACCTGTAAAACGTCTAGCAACATACTGGCAGCCACCATACCGAATCCAGCTAACAAAAAAGGCACAAACATTTGTATAGACATAGAGCAAACATTTTCATCCTCAAATTGCTTAAATTGACTGCTTCGAGTAACTATTTTTTTTGTATCATCATTAATACATTGATGACTGATAGGCGATGGTATAAGTCGTTGTGTAGTTTCTCCATCGCTTTCCGTTTCTTCGTCTGTTTTCATTTCCACTTCCATGATAATATCATAAATATTTGACCGAAGTGATTCATCACTATCTAATCCCACCATTTCGTTTCCACAAAACTTTTTTTCTGACTTTCTGTGCCGTATGTTTGATAAATTATTTTCCTGCACCTTCATTCCTATATTAGCATTGCTCATTCTTGTTAAATCGCTTCCAAAACTGTACTACCGAGAACTGTAACGAAAAAGATGATTGCTGCTACTCTTTTGAATTTTAACAAAGATCGTAAATTTGCATCTTAATTGGAAAAATTAAGCTTAATTGTCATAAATGATATTTAATTAACGAGCATTATCATAGTTATTATTATCATTATTGTTATTGTCATTGTTATTGTTATCGTCATCGTCGTCATCATCATCATCGACTTCATCGTCGTCATCATCATCATCGACTTCATCGTCGTCATCGTCATCGTTATCATCATCATCATCATCATCATCATCATCATCATCATCATCATCATCATCATCATCATCATCATCATCATCATCATCATCGTGATGATAATTATCATCAATATCGTCATAGTAATCGTAATCATCATTATCGTTATCATTATCATCGTAATTATCATCATTATCATTATCATTATCATCATCATCATCATCATCATCATCATCATTACCGTTGTCGTTATTGTCATTCTCAATATCATCATCATCATCATCATCATCATCATCGTCATCGTCATCATCATCATCATCGTCATCATCGTCATCATCATCATCATCATCATCATCATCATCATCATTATTATTATTATTATTACATTGCCCAATCTTCTTCATTTTTAATAACGTTTTTCTCTTGACCATACAATTAACAATAATTACAATACTGTACGACAGAACAGAGCTCTCTTTTCATAGTATATATATGTTGTTTATTTTTTACTCTTGCTGTATAAAATTGTCAAAATGAAAATCAGTGTGGTATATGATAAAGCATGCATTCTGGTTAGGAAAGAAGAATTTATCGTATGTTGATTTCGGTAGCATCTTTCTTTTTTCTGTCATGTTTTACGCGTTATTACGAGATAAAACATACAATGATTATTTCTATTTCGTAATCGATTGTTTTGTAATTGTTACCGAATCAAGGATCCAACGAAAAGAATTTATAATAGAGAATGAAAAAGGTTAGTAATAACATTACAACGAATTAATTGACAAATATAATATGATCGAGTAAATATGTTAAAAGTTGAAAAATGAGCGAGAATGAAGAAATAATTTTAAATATTCATTTAAAGTAGAGTAAACAATAACATTCGGTAGAAACGGTGGTTTGTTATTCGAAAAGCAGTCGAGAAATATAAAAGACTTATAATTTAAATGTAGGTTCTTATATTAGTAGTTGTTTATAAAATATAATATTGTATAAAGAAAATGTTAATGAAATAGGGATGCCTGCAGGTTAAAATGTCATATTTATAAGCAGAAAAGGTATTTCAATTGTAACTGCATAGCTTAATATTTTTGATTTTACGTACGAGATATTTAACATTGATACAAATAATTAGGCTGTTAGTAGTGCTTTTATAAATAATCTTTTGGTAAGGAAACGAAAAAATACTATATTGTCAAAGTAATGATGTTTCAACGTGGGAAACATAACCTCGAAATCGTATAACCTACCTTGAATGTATAGCAATACATCTCCATATTTGTTCGACGTTCAACCACGTGGAGGCGTTCTCGGTTAAGAGAAGAGAAAAAACATGAAAATTGATAACACGAAACATTAAGTGCAAGAGAAAATTTCGTATTACTATATCGTGTAATATTTTATGTGGCATATACATACATAGTACAAAGTAGTATGTCGACAAGTTCAAGTATGACTGATTTAAAAATGTAATTTCAGAATTTTAAATCGAGAGTTAGAGTAATAGAAATACGAGATCACCTATAAACACGTATAAGACAGATAAATTTGTATAACAAGTAGTTGATATAATAACCAATTTAACAAATCGATATTCTTCATGTTTATTACGTTACGTTATGTTACAAAGAAAGAAATTTACTTTATCGACAACTTGCAGTTTGTACGAGGTAAAGGAACTAACTCGAATGAATTTAAAGAGTTGTTGAAATTCTATAAAAGTTTGCGAAATGTGTTTTAACGTTTCGACTATGGCTGTGACGGCTAATGGTCATTGTATTTATTATTCACAATATACATAACATTAATGATTCAGAAAAGAAATTCGACTTTTATCCTTTTACATAGAAGCATAACAAAATACATGTAAAACGAACAACAGATGTATACTGAACATATTTATTATATGAAAAGAAATTTGTTGAAAAAGAATTTGGAAATCAAAGTAAAGTAACACGATGAGCGAAAAATGACATGTCGATTTAATTAAAAAGCTTTTTAAAGAAATAGATGGATGTTAATAGATTGATCCGATGACGAAGGAAGACTAATCAATATAGATCCGCTTTACCCTGGGCACAGGGGGCATACATCCGAGAAACGATGCTCGAAATACCTTTATCTGGGCAGCGGGCATAGTGCCCGCAAGCGAGCTCTGTTCCTCACAATGCATCTGTATTGCAAGACTTTGGCGTGTAGTTTACATTACTGTGTTTCTTTTTTAACTTTCACGATATCGATCAAATGTTATTTATGACTGCCGTGATATTAATCGAAATAGTGTCGTACAATTAGTTTCTTTCATAGTCGAGTTCATACTTGTAACTCGAATATAATTTAATATCTCGATACTTTTGTACTGTGTCAAGATTTAGTATAACATTGTAAGGTAAGTCTTCCCATTTACATTTGCATTCGCATTCAATTTATAGATGAAACGTAAATCTTGTTAAGCCGAGTATATTTCATACTTCTTTCTCCCTCTCTCTCTCTCTCTCTCTCTCTTGCTCATGAATTTGTACTCGTTCACTGAATACTTTTGATTTAAATATAATTACCACACGATACCGAAGGTATTTTTCGTCACCTTTATCTTCAATCAAAATAAAATGAAATGACAAAATGGAGATATGATAGCTTAATATGAAAGATTGTATCTTATTCGTTTGCTGAGAGAAAGGAAGGGAAAGGAGAAAAAATAAATAACGAAGAAAAATGCACGATTCGATATTTATTAATTCTAAATTTCATTAAGGTGAGAAGGCAAAAATATTTCACATGGGTCGTAAAAAACATCGAAGCAAGAAGAATAATTTATCATTAAGAAAGTCGAGAGATAATGCGGTTTGTGAGAAATCAACGATCCGTAATGTACCAAGGACGGATGAAGAAGCGATTGAAAGTAACGAAACAAGGAAGGGTACACTGACCGATGATAAGTGTTTGAAAAAAGAAACGATAGATCATCTTGCTGGGATAAGTAATGGTCCGATCGATGTACGTTCTCGGTTAACGTATCCTTTGGTGCTAAATGATTCATCGAAGTTGTCACTGAACGAAAGTAACAGAGGCGACGACGACGGCAACGACGTCAACGACGACGGCGACTCAGAAGAAGAGAGTGTCGAATTGAATGTAAAGCCGAGATTCGTATTTGTGTCGAGCCTTTGCGCGGTGTGTTTGGCGAAATCTAGGTTATTTTGCGAACGTTGTCGAATGGTATCGTATTGCTGTAAAATACATCGAACGCAGGGATCGTTGGAGCATGGCAAGTTATGCGAAACACTGACAGAGATTCGTTGGTCCATTGTGTCAATGCTTTCTAACGAATCAGGTGTGCAACTCGATGCGGAGCAATACCGTGTTTTTCGATTAAAATTGCTAGGAATTTTCGAGTCGAAGATTGGAAGATCATTGGACCTTTGGGAAAGGGAAATCATATTGTATCCTAGAGTTTGTAGAATCTGCCGTCGCTTTAGCGAAAAGTTAATTTGTTGTACGTATTGCGGAATGGAATATTTCTGCGAAGGACATGATGGGGAACATAAAAATTGGTGCGAAGAATTTCGAATTTTGCAAAGATTTTTGTTTCTTCAACATAAATACGGTTACATCGATGTAAAAATTCCGAACGTGTATCGAGAAATGTTGGTCGCGAGACCAGAGTTTGGTTTTAACGAGTTGATGTATGAAATTTATGGAGATTGCTGGTATTATCGAAAAATGGATTGTTACACCTACTCCACGCTATCCCATTTGTGTACGATTCCTCTAACAGCCCTTTACTCCATGCAAATTTCTTCTCCCGAATGGAAAAATAAAGTGGATTGTACTATTCACATGCTCGGTGCAGAATTTCAATTCGAGGGTATAAATTTGCACGTCTGGGAAAGGATGTTCCTTCATTTCTTGCCAAATTTAAAGAAACTATGTTTGATCTTGATTGGTCCAGAGTTACGATTACCAAAGGGCGTACCTCATAAACTTCTGTCCACGGTTAAAGTTTGTAAAAAATGTAAATCTACCGGTAGAGCTGTGGTCGTTTCGTTTAAACAAGAGATGCTTTATCACGATTTGATTCGTGACACGTCCGAATGTCTTTCTAAGCCTGATCTTATTTGCGTTTATAATCCTGGTCTTTATCGGAAAACCGGGTTCGAAGGAAAAGATACTTGGCTCGAAACGATAAAGGAGTTTTGCAAAACGTCAATTCCTGTCACTGTTACATCTTACACCGAGGACGAAATGCATTGGGAAATAACCCGAATAAATTCGATCGCAGACATCGAGATCCTTTTACAACCGTATCGAAATCCGTTTTCGTCGGTCAAGCCGGATCGAAACTTTGTTAGCGATGACACTAATCCACTTATCTATAAGAATTACTACATTGCCATTGTTAAAGGAAAAACTATTTTACCGTAATACATTTTTCGTATATACATATCGCGTATATCGCGTATATCGCGTACAAAGCGCGTGTATACGTCTATTGTACGTAGTTGTACAATTTTTCGTACATATCATCGAATCGTTAGAATTTCATTTGGAAAAAATCGATTCTTTTTCTACATTTCTCTTACATATATATGTACATGTATTTTTATCGTTTCAATAAAACATTTTTCTGCGCGCTATAAATTCGAGCGTATCGATTTGCACGAACATGGAAAGAGCACTCGTTCTCGCATATTATCGTATTATCGCATCTTGAACTATTTCATTGACGAAATTGTAGTTTGCAACGGCTGTCAGCAGCTTTGATCCGAGTTAAAAAGATTCCCAAAAATGGGTATGTTGAGCCGAGGTTTTTTGTTAAATGGTACTTTGGCAAACAACAATGTTTATAGCTACGTTTATGATTTGGGTCGTGTGTATATCATAGATGGGACTGCATTAATCGAACAATCTACGTTTCGATTCGAACGATCGAACGCTTGTAACATGTATATAGTACGCAAACGTTGACAAACATTATATACATGTCATACTTATATACCTTCTATGCGTGCGCTTACATTACGAATAGAAATATAAATATGCAATAATTTGAGCTTAAAGTCACTTTATGATATAGGAAAATTATATACAACAATGGTTAATTCATATCGTAGATCACTGTGCTCGAAAGAGAGCGTAGCAGTGCCTTGTAACATATTTTATACCCATTCGCGTGCATGAACTTGCGTGTGTGTGTTCATATATGCTTTGTACTGTTTTCAAAGTCAAGGAATCAGGGGAAAATGGTGGCGGCGGCGGATGAGGAGGAAGCAAATCAAATACGCTTAACGTATAAATTATAATCGGGTACAGACTAGTTTGACGATTAATGAAAAAGAAAGGAAGGACGAAACGATCGAGATGAGAAATAATGAAGAACGTTCGGAACAGGAATTAATCGTGCATACGTATCGCGTTAATGCATACGATTAATTGTAGTTGAGAACGATTAAAAGAAGCACGAACGTGAAAAGAGACAAAAGAGGTGAATTAGTGGTTCGATTTACCGAGTTGGTCAATTTGTAGAAGAAACGATTGTAGGCGTTGTTACAGTGGGAAGGCCAGTCTTTGAAGCATGCGGCATACGCTACTACGTGAGCGATGTAATTTTGTTCGAAAGTACCACGTATTAAGTGCGAGTACGGACCTGAAAAATTAATCGAGACGTTAATTGGAATATCGGAAAGAAAATGAAAAATACGAGGTGGAATGGAAAATTTTATAATGGACGATGAAAGATGAGGATAAAGGATAAACGAATAAACGGATGTAATAGTGTTGAATGTAATAGCTATGCGTGTTGAAGATATTTGTCTAGGTTAGCGAATAAATATATGCGGATTGTAAGAAAAGAAGCGATGATAATATGTTACCTATCGCGTAGACTCCGACGTCTTCGCCTCCGTGTGTTTCGTCTTCCAAATATGTGCCAGCCATACTGGTATAGAATGGCTGATCGCGCGTTTCATCCTGCTCGACGGCTCTCCACGTTTCGTTGATATTATTACTATCGTTTCGTCTATGATGGAAGAAGCCAGGTCCGTTGATGTAACTAAGCGTTTCGTAGAATGGTACGTTTGGCTTGTTTGGGTCATTTGCGAAACCAAGGATATCGTTTCCTCTCTTTGGATATCCGTTTATGGTGAAGGAATGAGAGTGATCAGCAGTCACGATTACTAGAGTTTCTTCTAGCTTGACTTGTTGCAGAGCAGCCAATATCGCTTCCTCCAACTCCGATAGTTCTCGCAACGCTAACTTTACATAGTTATGGTGATGAGCCATGTCTATTCTTCCGCTTTCTACCTGCATTCGGAATAAATTGATATCTCGATAAGAAACGGAATAAAGCACGGAATAAGAGAGGATATAAGAAAAGAAAAGAGGTAAAAATACATTCTATTATGCGACTCTCACCATTAAGAGAAAACCGTCGTTATTCTTTTGGAGCAACTTGATAGCCTGTGTCGTCATATTGGCTAAACTCGGTGTTTGATCTGTCTTTACGGCATGATAAGGAAGATGGCTAGCAGCGAAAACTCCGAGAATCTTGGAGGTGTTTGCGACATCGATGGAAAAGAGTTGCTCAGCATCGGTTACCAGTTTGCCATCGGGATTATTTTCTGACCACAATTGGGCCAAATTTTGTCCATCCCCCCTGACGCAAGTATCCGGATCTATCGGCTCCATTGGTAAACCCAAGTGTTGAGCTCCGCCACCCATAATAACCTGACGTTGAAAAATTATTCTTCATTCGAGAATAAATTAGTCGAAGAAGATTGGAAAGGAGAATAGGATAAGATAGAATAGAAAGAATACATGCGTGACATGGCGAAGCGAAGAACGGCTAGAACATATTCTCTTACCTGAAACTTATTTCCTGGAGCCTCTTCGATCAGTTGCCTCGCTATATCATTTACGCAATCTTTGTATTGTTTAGGTATCGAGGTATCGCATTCCCAATCGCGATTATTGGTATGAGCGTAGAGTCCGGCTGGTGTGGCATGCGTGATTCGAGTTGTGGTCACGAATCCTATATTTGATCGAGCGATCGAATAAAAGAAGAAATTAACGATGAATAATTTGTTAACGTAACCAAGTTGATCTTTTTATTCTGTGTTTTCTTACGGGAACATTCAAGACAAGAAGAAGGATTTTTCTTGCGTTTCGATCCTAACGCATACACACGCACGCGCATGCGCATATACGTATACGCGTATGTATGAAAAGCAATGATTAAAAAAGCGTGCGTTACGAACGTTACGCCCTAGATAAAGCGGAAGGTCGACTCGTGACCTCCTCTACCGAGTCGTTTTCAAGCTTGTCTCGACAAGGTCCATTCGATACTGATGTTTAATGTTTAACACCGGTAGCTGACCGTGAGTCGGTCGTTGTTGCTAGCGAGTCACGTTCGCGCGCGTGCCGTTTTTATCTATTATATGCGTCAGTTGCTATCGATCGTTGCATCAGTTGCGTATAGTTATGTCTGATAACACACCTTTATATGCAATTTCCCGATATTTCCTACTTATTCTTTAATCTATTTATAACGAGTTATTGGACAACCCGGTTTCTTTCTCTTTTTCTTCCTTTCAAAGAAATTCCTATAAGAAATTCGTACGAGTATACATGTAGGTACGTAGGCAGATATGAGGGACGACTCACCGGTACCCATGCCGCTTTCTTGCGCCCAATCCGCGATCGTTGTAACTTTTCTCTTTTCGTCGTTATGCTTGTCGCATTTATCGAACGAAGCTTTGGTATCCAATCCGATGACTTTGTAACGACATTTCACACCAGAAAATATCGCGGTGGCTGTTCCAGCTGAATCGGGCACTTGTTTGTCGGTGTTGTACGTCTATAAAGGATAACATGGCAGGAGGAGATAAAGAAATTTCTCGTTAATTTCAAGTACTCGGTGAAACGATATCGAGATTTCTACTAAGATACCTATGTGATCTTATATGTTTGATACCTTGGCGAATCCAGTATTAGGGAACTTCTCGAAAGCTAATTTATATTCTTCGCCGGTGCTGCCCTTCATTTGGCCTTTGTATATTCGGCCAGCCGTAATCGTAGATATTCCCATACCATCACCGATAAAGATAATGGTATTCTTCGCGCGATTCTCGTTGTTCCGATAAGCTAGGTTTCTTCGAAGATTCTCTTGTCCAGATTTTAACCAAAATGACATATCTATAAAAAGAAACGTATCGGTGTTTGTTCGAGCTGTTTGTTCGTCAAACGTAATAAACGATTACGCGATGAATTCGTTTTCCGCAAATGTCGTAATCGCATTGTTCGAATGTCGAGGAGGTATCTTTCCGGGAGAAACATTGGAATCCTGTCAACGATGATACACTCTGCGGGCTTAGGAACGAATTATGATTATGACATCGCGATGATTCGCCAACGAATTCTTAAGCGTTATCTAGGTGCAAGAATCGCGACATAGCCGCAGACATTGTTAATTTAAACACGTTTTATCAAATTTTTGAAACGCAAAATTTATTTTTTCGATAAAGATCGAAGTGATTCGAAACGAATGGTAAATATCAAGACGAACCTTCGTAATCGGTTGCTTCTCGTGGTAGAGTGCTAGCGAGTCCAACAAATCCCAGCATGGAACAAATTAATACGACCAGTTGTTTCATATTCGTCGAAGGAACAGATCTGTAACAGATTTCATGTACACACGCGCGCGCGCGCGCGCGCACACACACACACACACACACACACACACACGTATATATACATATAACGATCGCGCGAGACGAGCTACGATAAGTCGACGACAATGCAACCATCGCGGAATACATGAGAAGATGAAAACGGAAAAGCAGTGTTTCGAATACGTGAACGCGATATCCATGCCTCGCGTATACGCATGTACGTAACCGAACATGCTAAAGAAAGAGAGGAATACGATTTGTAAATACGGCATGGTGGATTTCGTGGTCAATGACTGGTCGTTTTTCTAGTCATTCTTATAATACCTTTAACGAGCGCTCGGCTTATTGTAAGTTGATTGTGGCTGTTCGTTCGTTAGTTATGATATGATTTGAGGTTTCTTTGATTCATGCGTTCGTTTATTGGATAATAGGGTATAAACGAAAGATAGGAAGCGCGTTCTTTCGACGAGGCGCGAACGATTGTTCTTGCTTTCGTGTTTGCGCGTGACGGACACGTTCATAAAAAGGGAGAGGGATAAGGGGCGAACGAGTAACGAGCAATGAAAAGGGGAGCTGCAATTTGGGTCAGTCAGCGGGACAATGAAAACGGTTCGATCGCGCTCGGACGTTGGTAGCATACGGCTATGCACTGTACAAGGTGCGCGCATAAAGATACGTATATAACGTTGACGACTGGCGATGAGTGAACAGGCATCGCTGTTAACCGTGCGTAAGTTGCTGCGATGCAATATCTACGGTATACATCGCTGGAAAATAGAGGAACGGAGGATCGGAAAGCGAGAATCAATGTTCGAATAACCGTGCGCGATCGTAAAATCGTTTAACATGGTCGAATTGTTATCGTTGGAACTGTTCGGAGAATTGCCGATCTTGAGTTTCATTCACGACGGTTCTCGACGGTTCGTCAGTCGGCCGGTAATTTGTTCGCGCAGCAAAGGGGAACGATACTCGTGAAAATTACCTACCCAAATAATATAATGCGTAAATGGATCATGCTACGCGACAAACGTCTTCTTCCGTCCGTATGGTAATGCAATAGGTTTGACTCGTAGATCTCACGGCGTTTAGAATGTTGTCAGTAGGTACGTGTTTCGAGTGGAATCATCCTCCGACAGCCGATGCGAAAGCAGAAGACGGATTGGTCGACGAATGTAAATTAGACTTGACCAAAATCGATTTGAGTCGGTTGCGTTTGGTAGTGCCTCGAATTTGAGAAAACGGCAAAAGGCGAAGATGAAGAGACAACAGCAACAGCAGCAGCAGCAGCAGCAGTAGTAGCAGCAGCAGTAGTAGTAGTAGAAGTAGTAGTAGTAGTAGTAGTAGTAGTAGTAGTAGTAGTAGTAGTAGTAGTAGTAGTAGTAGTAGTAGTAGTAGTAGTAGTAACAGCAGCAGCAGCAGTAACAGCAGCAGCAGCAGCAGCAGCAGCAGCAGCAGCAGCAGTAGCAACAGCAGCAGCAGCCAGTTAGTAACGCGAGGACGAATGGCGCGAAAGATGATGGTACGAGTCGACAACCGTATCGTTGTTCGGTTCGTTTTTATCCGGTGGCTATTACCTGACCGGAACGTGATGCCGTGTTAACGCCGATACAGCGCTACCGAGGAAGTTTGTCACTTTATATAGCGTTTCAAAGGCCCTGGTAGATTGTGCACGAGGTGGAGAGCGTGCAAGGGACACTGAGAGTACAGATTCTCGAGGAGAGAAGTGGTTTGGGGAGAAGGGGAACCCCTCGTGTACTGCTAATCCGAGAGTAATTGAGCACCTTCGTGCCATTATGTCTTATGTCCGTGTGAGATTAATTCGAACGCGGATCTCAAAATATCTTGCGAACTACGAATATTTCTTTCTCTCTCTTTCTCTCTCTTTCTACCCTATGCTCTTTGACATCTGCCCCTTTCCTTGTTCTCTCTTTTCTTACAATGCGTATCCCTCTTCCCTAGTCATTTCCTTTCGTCGATCTCCCGATAGATCGTATCGAGGGGTGGCATTGATCTCAATTTTGTCTTTTTCCTCGTTTTTCTTAAATTCGTTAAAACCATATTCAGAGCTGTAAAATATCGTTCCGAATCGAACAAAAAGGATCTCGAATCGCGAATCTTCGATTACCGTTGACAAACACAGTTTCATCGCCGATAAAAATCGCGGTAACTACGAATCTTATCGCATAAGATCGTAGAGAGGCATTTGTTTATTCTTTTGTTTTCCTTTTATCACGCATAATCACGTTCGCAATGACATATCCGATTCAAGTTCGGAAAATGAAGCGAGCACGCGATCGATGCATTCGCGCGTAATCCTGTACGAGTGTTGTACGTTAAAAACAATATAATCACAGGAGTGTAACGGTATTAAACCAAGTAACGGGGCAACGACGAGGGAATCCAATCGACCAATCGCGCTTCCAACATTCTCTCGAGCCTCAGGAGGTGAGACAAAAGCTTGATTTCTCATTGGTTCGAGATATAAATGAGCGTGTTCGTTCGTTCTCGGATTTCACGTTTCGCGCACGTGGTGAGTATAGAACAAGCAACTTTCAAAGTTCTTCCGCTCGATGCGTGATCGGTGTTAACGTTTTACTTAAACCGACACGACATCGTGATCACTGCCTGATAATGATAATCAAAGGCATTGTTATCGAAATACTTCGAGATTTTTTGCACATTTTCTCCACTTTGATACACAACGATTCCTTTTCACCTTTCCATCCATTCAACTTTGTACCGCTTTTCCTGTTTCTCTTCTTTCTTTTATTCGATTTTTATATTTTTCCGTTATAAACGTTTCGGCGATGTGTATTTGACGATAAATAGCTGTAATAATTCTATAATAATTAAATATTATGTATTTTGTATGAAAATGTTATCGCAAATCTCTTGTTTCTATGCACGACAGTCACCATTTTCTTTCCTCTCGTTTCTTTGTGTTGAATCTCTTTCTTTCTAGTAGAAACTGATGGAGCAACATTTTCCTCATTGTTATTTGTGGTGCGTGAACGCAAGAGGTACGACTGACCTAACGTTTTGTTAAACTTTGTATCTCGCGAACAGAAATATAGACGAGCAAGTTTAGAAATTATATTCGGTAGAGTTGGCAATTTAGTAGATAATATTAACATCTATCGATTGCGATTAGGTCTCCTTTATTACCGAGTGAAAATACTTAGAACTGTGTTTAGGATTATGCCCGTCACTTTAGGGTCGGTGAACCGGAATATACAAATGAAGAAGGGCTATGCCGATGAAGTTGTAAAACTATCGGCATTTTCACTCGTGTTCTATGGCGAAGCAGATGGAAACTCAATGAGAAAAAAGGTGGGAGTAATGGTAACGATGTTGCTGCTGGTGGTTGCGGCGGCGCTGTCTGCACTGACGGCAGCATTGGATTCGATAATGGCGCAGTGGCATCGGCGTGACAGTAGTAACGATATCGAGCATGAAGAAGCAATAAAAGTACATAGAATTATTTATCTATTTTCCCGAGTACTAATTCGAGTCAAGCTAAAATTCGATACGATGCTATGATTCGAAAAAATATCCCGATATTATTATAAACTCGAATAAAAGACGACAAAGTGCATCGAGTTGGAGATTGTGGGTGTTTAAAAACCTTGTCCGCTCGTTTTCTTTGAAGCAACAAATTAGATACAATCGCGTTGGATGTTTGAAGGGAAATTCCAATTTCGTTAATTGAATTAATGCGACTTGTTTGCTGTTAAGCTGGACCACGTTGTTATAATTTCTGTGTATAGTTACTGCCGTGATCATTTTCATCGTTGGTGCACAGTGCGGTATAAAAGTGAAAAGAAAAGTTGTTCAACGTACATACGTGATTAAACTAATATGTTTTTATCCGATTGCTTTATTACGTATCGTTATGCGTTCGCGATTGTTCGGATCGTTGCTTTGAATTTGTTTTAATGAAACTTATTGCAGACTCGTTTTAATCATGTTTCGAATGCTCGATTTCCGCGAGTTATTGGAACTTACGTGATACGTCTTGGACAAAAATTTCGCAAACGAAAAATTTCACGACATTTCGTCGTATGACATTAAATACGCTTATTTCTCGATCGATTTATGCGGCATTTTTTTTTTTACATACGTATATATACGTGACGCGTATACGTGTTCTCAGGTTTATGCGATGCGATCAAGTAATGTTTCTACGGTATTTGCCAAAATTATTCACTGACTTTTCGTGCGACTTGTGTGGAAAAAAGCAAATAAATAAATAAAATTTCTCTTTTAAGAAAAAATTTTTTCCGAGTTTTCGTTATTGTCGTTTCATTGTAAATACTTCGGTAAATATTTGTTCTAAACCGCGTAAAAGATGAACAAGAAGGAGAGAAAAGCCGCATAGAGTATACACATATTCCGTGTAATTCCGTGCAAATCTGTGCAAGTCTGTGTAATTCTGTGTAATTCTGTGTAATTCTGTGTAATTCTGTGCAATTTAATTAGAAAGAATTACTCAAGCGTTATAATAAGAGTATTGAAATTTCTGTTTCACCTTGTAGAACAATGATGAAGGAAGCAAGTATCGTGATATATCGGCAGTATGTAGTAGTGCGATCGTATTATGGTATCCATTACATATTACGTGATGGTTGAGTGAGAAGGTCGTCCGGAAGGAACAATTACGCGCATAAAGAAACTGGAAAGGGAAAACTGGAAGCGTTCCGTGCTCGTCCATCCATGAAACAATGAAATCGTAGTTACAATTACGGTTTCCATCAGCACATCTAGCATAACGCATTTACCCAAGTTTCGCATATTTTGCAACGTTGTAGATTTAATGTGTATTTTATGAAATACAAGTCGTGTATTTCGTAATATTTGATCGCTGATCAAAGGAATGATCAAATTCGTATCATATTGCTTAAATGTTGCATACATTTCGGTAAAATTCATTACCGAGTATCCATTTCGCTGGATAAGACAAAATAAAGAAGACGGAAAGCAGGAAGCGAAGATGGAGAGAAATGAGAAGGAGAAAAAATAGTTGAACGCGCGAAGGTTGAGGTTAAGTGTGACGGCGAATGAGACCGAGAGAGAAAGTAACGGGGGTTGATCGAGAGCTGAAACGACGCTATAGTCGGGATCGCGATCAGCAATGCTCTGTAACTGCCACGATCGTTGTTGCATTTCAATCATGCATATATATAAACGGCAGTCAAGCCCATTAGCTGTTTCTAATTCTAGCGATAGGTGGATGAAATCGTTTATTCCGTTACAGGTTTTTTATGCGATTAAAAAGGTTTGATTACTTTTTGACCATTTTTAGATGGTACCACTGTCAAGCCTACTCTCTAATCATAATCATATTCGTTCTAAGCATAATCGTTGTACCGATCAAGTGTACAAATTCACACCACTCGTTAGCAATACTACGTATATACTGACCAATTCTTTCAAAGTTTCAATCGGTTTTTCTTTTTACATTTTTCGTCCTTACATTTATGTTCTCATTTTCACAATGCACTGAATCAGATGTTGAGAAAAATACGGATAAGAAGATGAGAGGGAAAAGGAGAAGATGAAACGTGAAATAAAGGATTAAACACTTTCTTTTTGTAACGTCTCTTTATATACTCTGAAGTTTCTCGCGGCCACCGTCGAGAATTATCGCGAGATTCTCGCGCGGTTTTCGCGGATAACAGTGAGCGAATAATACGCATTAACGAGGTAAAACGCGATTTTTATGTATATTAAAAGAATCACAGAGCGATGGAAATCGTGGTATAATTCGCGTGCATAAAATATCTCCGTGGAATAAGAGCACAAATTATTTGTCAGTGAAACAAGTCGAGCGCTGTTTCCGACGCAAAATATTTCGGAAAAAAGAAAAAAATATATATATCTACATATATCTTTTTTTGTTATAGGTGTCCATTCTACGTACATTGTCCGTCTATAACCGTATCATCTCCTATTTTATTTGTAGTCAATCTTGTCCAATTTTCGTTTCAAATTACCCAATCGTTTCTTATTCAATTACTCCACCATTTCGTTAGGTCTAATTAATAATATTTCATTAGAATTTGGTCGCTATTCTAAATCTACATTTGATCGCATGCGTGATCCCCTTGTTTTATGTTCCTTATCAAATCGTGAATTTTTCGACGAGAGAAAGGATTAATTAATTTTTAGCATAAAATTGGCTAACAAAATTACGATGGAACGTATCGTAGTTTCTCTTTGTGCATTGCTGCAAGAATTGAAACAAATATGGGGAAGGAGGATGATGAAAAAATGTGGAAAAAAGCTTGAACGGACTGTTTCGAATATCGCAGAATGCTTCGCTTCTAATAATGCGATTCGATGCAACGCAACGCGACGCGACGCAACGCGACGCGACGCAACGCGACGCAACGCAACGCAACGCAACTCAACGCAACGCAATAGAACGCAATTGAACCTTGAGAGTAATTGATAAAAGTAAAAGAAACATTCATAGTATCTGTCAAACTTTGGACAAATCGAAACGGTATCTTAAAATATCTTAGTTCCTTGTTCGTTCGTCGACGAACTCGCGTCCTGCGCGAGTACCTTTGTTTGTGAAATATAGGTATTGAACGCATCCGTTATCCGTTATATACCCGTAAGTATTCGAAACTCGCGAGGAATTAATGGTTGCTTCGCAACCATACGAATACGCTTTTAAGAGCCCCTCTGGACTGTTTGAATAGGTGAAAGTATGTAAACTTTCGAAAAAATAATTCTACTAAATCTCGTTTCACATATCATTATAGTTTTTATAGTATGTAGATAACGGCCAGCCGTTGAAAGGAAAAAGGATAAGAAGATAACGCGTGTATCGTTTTATGGGAGAACGTTTACCAGTTCCCGTTCGTTTTTCTTCGTATCGCTATTTCGTGTCGTTTGTATCACGCTTGTTACTCTGTTCTTACGATGAAATTTGAACGTGTGCCTAGTTGGAACGTATCTAGGACGAATAATCGCAACAACGTTATCCTTGGAATCCTATTATGCGACAATATCCATATCAGAGGAGGAATTTGGTGTGGTCGGGGCCAAACTGCCCAACGTGTCTTCGTCCGGTAGGGCATGTTGACAGCCGGTCGGTGTTGGACTTAACGGTGGAAGATGGGGAGATGAAAGCATCGGATCACCGCTATGAATCGGACCGTTTCCATCGTCCTCCATCAGATCTTCGAGTTGCGACATACTTAAGCTTGTCGGTTCTTCGGTAACTAATTCTGGAATCTATAGATGAAATTTTGTATGTAATCTGTTTGTTTTGCCGTATGTACGTGCAACTGCTTACTTACTAGCGAAATTTAATCTAGGATGCGTACTTTTTAACGTATGGCTATATAAAAGAAGTGACTATTTTCCATTTTGAAAATCGTCCTCGATACGAATATACATGGAAAAGGTAATTCGATGGAAAACGTACATGATAACCGAATCATGATTACAGTGTTTGTTCTGGTAAATGCAACATAGAGGAAAAGATATTGCTAAGACGTGAGAATAAAAAGTATGGGCGAAGAAAGAAAGAAAAGAGAAGATAAAATAAGGACAAGACGAACGGGGACATGGTTGATAGTAATCAACGAGGAAGGAAAAAAATGGTCGTCTATAAGACTGTTGTTTGATCGCAGAGGCGAACATTGTTTCTCGCGCGCGCGTTCACGCGTCACTTGATGACAGAGGGAAGAGGGGAGGAATAAAGGAGCGATTTCGTAGCTAGTATGTAGTCTGATCGAAACAGATGCGAATTATGAAACCAGTCTCGGGAACGAAGCGAACGTTTATTCGGATCAAGGATCGTGAAACGATCATCGATGTACGTAAGTAGGTATGTATGTACATGTATCGGCGTTGATCGGTGTGTAACCTTGACGAAATTCACAGCATTGGCGGTGTCGTAGCCGAGTTGAGAGTGGTCGGGCCGAGTGGTCGCGCGAGGATGCACATCGTTATAAATGTATACCGCGACCCTGAGAAGGCAAACAACGCACGGGATAGGGCAGGAAAGAAGATAATACAACAATTCTGTTACCTTACGTTGCTCGAGCTTGTTTCGGGGAAAGGCGTTGAGCATGCTACCAGAAGTCGAGGCCCAATTGAAGTCAGAAACTGGAAGCCCGTGTGCCTTTACCTGCAACTCTAACTCCTGAACCCGTAAAAGAAGTCGACGATTCTGATGTTCCAATTGCTTGTGTCTGAGTTCGTTTTGTTTCATTCTGGTCAATTCATTTTTTAACAATTTTATGTACTCGACCGACGACTTGAGAATCGTACCCTTATTTGGCCTAACATCTCGGACTATTTCGTAATATCTGAAAGAAACGGAGATTTTCCATCAACAGCAGAGACTTGGATTTTACGATTGAGATGGGAATACGAAAAGAAGTAGGAGTAGATGTAAGAGAAAAAGAAAGAATAAGAATATAGTGAAAGGATGAGGGCGTAAATAGTTGTATCTATATTTTATACGCTGGAATAGAAAAATTATCGTTCGTTTGGTCTTGGAATTGATAATATACCGAAAGAGGATTGAACCGGACGAAAGGAAATACACGGACGAAGGGGATATTTGTCGAGATGCGCAGTCGACAGGGGCAGAAAGAGGCAGAAAGAGGCAGAAAGAGGCAGAAAGAGGCAGAAAGAGGCAGAAAGAGAGAAATTCGGTAAACGGGGTCGTATCAACATGTTTGCCATTGTAATTAGACAGAACGAGACTCGGTTTCGTTATCGAGCCGAGACACGGTAAGTTGGTTTACTCGCAGACCTTTATTACAGGCATCGTTGGCGCGATACCAGTGTTGGAAAAAATCTGGTACCCGGCCGTGTCAAGTATCGCTCGTTTATTCGCAAATTTACTCTTGTTCGCGAATGCTTGTACCAGAGGAAGCTTACGACAGCTACTCACACGAAAATGAAGGAATTGGAGTGTTTTTTGCTTCTGCTTTCTTTTCTTCGTTCTTTTCTAACGATCTTCGTGAGGCATAGAGAGAGGGACGTGGCGGGTTATTATTCTGCACGGATGCCGTCCGATAGGAAAGAAACGAAAGAAAGGAAATGGCATGAAACCGAGAAACGTACTTACGGGTCGTTTGTCTTAGGTAAGAGTGTGCCAAGCTCCTTGATTCTGTCGTTGATGTTAAATCGTCGCCGTCTCTCGACTGAAAGTCACAATGATAATATAAATTACAATTGGAGCGTGGTAATCTGAAACGGATATGAACGCGTCGTTACATATGTTAATAAATATATATTAGAGGGAATAAGGAAGAATGCGGAAACTAGGATTCACAGTCGTCGGTAATCTAGATACGAAGAGCATGCGTGGTGTCGGTTAAAGACGGCTTCGTCAGCAGACTTTGTCAGACAAAGTTTTATCGCGTTGCTTTGGAAGGGACACGCATCGAGAACTAAACGGTCGCAATTATAATATTTCCCGGAAAAGACGAAGAAAAGGAAAGAGAGGAAAAATCATTGGCGATTCGAACAACCGTTGTACATTGTCTTCGCCGATAACCGAGAGCAACGTAGATATAGGTTACATGTGAAAATATTACGGTTTTTCGCATAGCGTTAATAGTACTAATCAGTAGTAACAGTAGACCGCGACATTTTACAGTGAATCTCGTTTACTTACTCATATTGTGATTATCTTTCTTTTGTCGGTCTTTAGCAAGCGCATGTATCTCCGCCTCCGTAAGTAGCAAAGGTTCTGGTTTGATTTGTAGCTCTGGAATATTGGACAGGCTTCCTGATTGACTATCCTTTAAATTATCGCTTAGGGAGTTAGTTTCAAACGACAAAATGTCGTCCAAAAGATCCTCCGCCTGTAATCATATTGTTCTTGCTTTATCCATGTCTTGCGATGTATCGATCGATGAAGGAAGCGCACAAATGCGATTGATGAGAAAGAAACGGAAAGAAACGGAAAGAAACGGAAAGAAACGGAAAGAAACGAAACGAAACGATAGAACAAAGCGAAATGGAACGGAAGTGTGCAAGATGATAATCGTAATGACGGATCTTTTTCGTTTCTTTTCTTTTCACAGCGTTGCTTCGTTTCATACTCGATTCGCTTTATACCTTGCAACGGTGATTCTAGTACGAAGAGGATAGAGGTAAGTCTCCGTATAAGAGCTATAATTCTTATTCGTTATTACGATACCTACGAACTGTACGTTTATATGGAATATCCAAAAGTAAAAGAAGAAGAAACGATGTAAAACGGACCATTGCGAGCATCCACGCTCAGCGTACATCGCTTATGGCTATTCCAGTTGCGTACGTGTAAGTTACGTAAATATTACGTAAGAATAATAACCGATGTCTGTCCGTGGAAGAACGTGTCGATTGAACGTGCCATGTCACGAAGACAATGATAGTAGCATGAAGGCAGAGCGGAAAGATAGATCGGGTTATAAAGGAGAAAGCGATGGAATAGGTAAGAATGAAAGGTGGAAGAGGCAACGAGAGTAAGATGGAGCCGATCGATAGGGAGACACGTACTTGGTTGATACTTACGATTAGTCGATGTAGCTAACTGAAAAAGAAGGTTTCACTTACGTTCTCTTATGATTGGCGTTCTATATTTGACGAAGTTACTGCGCGAGTTGGAAAGAATAATTCAAATACGTCGTAATTCAGCTGGTGTACGGATAAAACGATTATCATAACTGAAATCGGGTCAGGTTTCGTATCGTTGTGTCTCCTTTATACCGTGCTTTATCTCTGACGTTGTTCTTGCGTACTTGCATTAAAAGAAAAGAAATAGGAAAGAAAAACTCGGAGAGCGTTAGTCGCGTTCGCGAAAAGAATGGGAAACAAAAGAAAAAGAAAATATTGCTGGATATTGCGCGCCATGCAGGCATTTGGTAAAACGGAAGTTGTTGTCCTTGGGTCAGTCGATAGCGTTTAAATCGAAAGAACGATTCGGAGGGAGGTTTTCGTGGTAAATCCGCTAATATGTTCTAGGTATAGTGTTCGCGCGCGCGCGCGCGCGTGTGTGTGTGTGTGTGTGTGTGTGTGGTAGCACTTCCGTCACAACTGACATTTTCCCACTGGTCCACCGCCTGTATTCCTCTGTATTCGTGATTGTGTTTGCTCTTTTCCGGCTGTGCACTTAGCCCGAGCTGCCGCTCATTACAAAACGTAAAGCACGGCATCGTTGGCGAATGTTAACATCGACCCTGTATGTTCGCGGCATATTAGCATTTAAATGTTTTTTATCTAGATAAACTGTTATCGACGCGATTGTCGCTACTAGTTATCTCGAAGAGCATTTTCAGCCCTTGATCAAGAATGATTTATGTGCCGGTTCCAGCGGTCGGAAGCGTTGCCGCTTATCGTGATTATCTTGCGCGTCTCTGCCCGTGGCTACACACGTCGAGCGTAGTGAATGAAAATAGAGCGAAAAAGATTGAAAATTACAGCGATAAAATTTTGTAAGGTGAGAGATCGCGAAACGTCGTTGCCACGTGGATCCATAGTTCGTGATTAAGCACGAACACGATTACGAGTGGATTACGATAACGCGTGCGATATTGGTCACGATATTGGTCAAGATGTTGCTCGTGATAATGGTCCTGTATACGCGAGATATATAAAAAGAGGTACGTAACATTCCAACTTTTATTGTCCATTGTTTTTCCATGTTTTTCCAATCTATCGAAAGGTTGCGACGCGTCAGTACGCTTAGACGTTGAAACAATCAGAGAAACGTGATAACCAACCCCTGTTCCAACTTGCTCGATTAACACCGATATCGATGCGTAACGTTGTATCAATCTGCAAATGCTAATCGACCAGATTTATACATTACGAATCTATTGTACTATCGTTTCGTTCTATCTCGATTCGTTTCGTTCTGCTCGTTTATCCGTTTCGAAATGCAACGTTGATAATGCAACGACGCGATAACGAGATAACGCGATAACGGGGCTACAATTAACAAGTATGAACCGCGTAAGTAGAAAAACGTACGCGAGATGGAATAAAAATCAATGAACGAATGTATCAGTGGCTCACAAAGGTGAATATTTAAACGAATGGAATGAAACTCACCTTACACCTTCGGGTTATTATATTAAACACTGGCATGTTGTCGTTGCTTGTAAGAGAATCCGACGTTGAAAAGATAATAAGAACCGTATATTTGTGCGGTCAAGCTGAGACACGTGAGTATGTGGGCACATACGCAGGCACATACGCAGGCACACACGTGGTTAGAAGGAGCACAGATTTAAGAAGCTCGTAAGCGTAAACGCAACGAAGACGGGTAATAATGAGGATATCAGGAAGGATCGTTCCTTCGGCGTGTAATCGATAAAATTCGCTTCCCCGGCGAATGTGAATTACTGTACGTACATATAGGATAATTGATAATCGTGCAAATCGTCCGCACCACCGGAACTATCGACAAGCGAAACCGACGATTTCGGGAAATGAGGAAATCAGGAAATTATTTCCTTTCGATCACAAATGTCGATATCTTCTTCATAGCCGTCTTCCACGTGGTCATTGCCATTGCATCGTCATCGTCATCGTCATCGTCATCGTCATCGTCACCGTCACCGTCACCGTCACCGTCACCGTCACCGTCATCGTCATCATCGCCATCATCCTTGACATCATCATCGTCGTCATCGTCAACGCTAACGTCATTTTCGACGTTAACCTTATTCTTTTCCTTCTCCTTTTCCTCCTTCCCCTCCTCCCTCCCCTCCCGCTCCACCTGCTCTTCTGTTTGCACCGACTATTGCCTTCTTCCTTCTTCGAAGAATTCGAATCTTTGACGCGTATCGCAAATTCTGACACGACACGGTACGTTGCGTATGCACTATCGTATGGCGAATATTTCCACCGGAATGTTTTCACCGGAAGAATCGCGAAATTTCTCTCAAATGAACGTATTTATGCTTTCGGCGAATGATGGAGTCGTAGAGCGGCGCGACGACGATCGGTATCATCGGCGAGGAATAATACTCGGAGATGTGCGTTTAGCGAGAATAAGGAAGAGAAGAGAAAGGGAAGAGAAATGCAAAGTGCGCAAAGATGTGGCGCAAAGAGACAAGGGCGAAAAGAAGAAGATAGGAAAAGAGCGCGGAGGTCGTACGAATATATCGAGTGCATATAATCGTTATATATGGAATAACGGAGCGATTTTGTATTGGCAATAGGAAAAGGATTGTTTCCGCGTGTAGGATAGGCGATAGTGGTGGTCAAATGGACGCGGGTGATAAAACGTAAGCGAAAAGGGAAGCGAACGTAAACGCGAACGCGAACAACCGTTGTTCGAACGAATGCATTTTTCGGAGTCGAAGGTTTACCGCCGCGACGACGCTGGTTCGTAGCAACCTTGCGTTTTCTCCTTGTTCCACCGTTCCGTCGCAACTCGGCTACCTACGATTAAGCGCACCTCAAGGTTGCGGTTACCCAATAACGTATCTCACGATCTCCGCGAACCGAGGAGGGATACCGAGTCAAACGGGATCGGAGGGAGTACCGGGAACAGGGAACGGATATTCGATGGCGGGAGACAAACAGGTGGAGTCGATACGCGTAGTATCGAGATAACTCGATATTAAAACTGGTAAAGTATGGTAAGTCTGTCGAAAAATACGTCACGCGTTAGAAAGAATCCGTTGGCCAAAAGAGAGTCGTTATCGGTATCAATCGAGAACGATAAGCCTATAAATCTACTCTGGTAAATCGAATCGGTCGAATTGAGAAATTCGCTTTTACCGTATCGATGTACGACAAGTTGTCCTCGTTATCGGTTTAAGCGTAGATCAGAAAAGAATATTGCCGATGTTGCCTCTATTCCAAGTCGAATCCCATCATTTGGCGACTCATTGATCGTGACTCTTCCTGTCGTCGTAATCGTCGTCACTGTCACTGTCACGATCACCGTCACGGTCACCGTCACCGTCACCGTCACCGTCACCGTCACCGTCACCGTCACCGTCGCCGTCGCCGTCGCCGTTGTTGAACTTGGTTACCGGATGTTGCCACTCGACGATCGCATGGAAAGTTTCCTCGTAAGATGTAACGTTTACGTATAGCGGCAAGATATTTCTCTTCTTCTCCTTTGTCTCTCAGCCCTCGAGTCGGTTGGTCGTGAAAGCGAAACGTCGATCGTGATTACGACGAATCGAGGAAAAGTAGATAGCAGGAGATGAAAGACGAAAAGACGAAAAGACGAAAAGACGAAAAATCGCGTTGCGGAAGCAACATCGAACGAACCATCCAACGAGGTAAACGACGCTCCGGCAAGGTTTATTCTCGCGCGAAACCGAACCTCCACCGCCGATCGGCTCGTTTCGGTACTGCTCGCTACTGCTCGAATGCCAGCCACGCGCCACGCGCCACGAGCTTCGTGATGCCCCACGCCCGCTACTATCGGCTATCGTTAGGTGTTACCGCATCCTCCCGTTATCCCCTACTATACGACTATTGCCACCGCCACGAGCCGATCGCGATTTTTCGTCAAGCTCGATCTACGCGTCTATTGTTCCGCTAGTACTATATACCACCTTCCCCATATCTATTCCCATTTTTTTCTTCCTACTGTTCTTTCGTCTTTCATTTTCTTCGTCCTTTGAACACGTCCTTCTTCTCAATAAGTCCTCTACGATCACGAAGATTCGCCATTTTTCTATATTTCCTCGAAAATTTCTCTTAAACGACACTTGGCTCTTCGTATACGTAGAATCCTTCTTCTTCCTTTCTCTTCGCTGACTTGCACGTTTTTAACCATACCACTTCCCTACCTAAATATTCTAATACGGATGTTGAATTCGCGTTGCGACAAATTTCTCCTACCGTCCATGTCCTATTGCGTATTCGACTCTCGTATTATAGCTGTACGACGCGTCTCAGATATTGAATCATGGTAACGGAGTTGGTTTCTCCGCTAACCCAGTTGTTGGGCGTATTCGTGAAATATTGCATCGTGTAACAGACAGGTGAGCGTAACTAAAAAAAAATAGCAACATGAACATTTTTAATCGATAAAACTGTCGAAAATAGTAGGTAATTCGCTTTTATATCCCTTTCTTCGCAAGAAGAATTTGCAAGTTCGCTTGTAATTAATTTCCTACGATAATATAAAGTAGCCTATTTTCTATTTTGAAAATGTTGAATAAAAGCGTAGGAAGGATGAAATGCTGTAGATAATTTTACGCCATCGGAACATTTCTGTGTACCTGTATACGCGATACGAGAGCAAGAATTGCGACTACGGCGACTATCGTACATGTATCGAATACATATACGATATCGTACGAGTGTTCTCGCAAAAATACGATATAATAATATAACGTCGTCGTATAACTACTCGAAAGAGTAAGAGACATTATGGTTTCTGCGCGACTTTGGATGCCAAACGAATAACAAAGAAAAAGAAAGCGATCGAGCAGTCGATCGATCGATTCGACCTTCGAACTGCCAAGTATGCTCGCAATTACGATTTCGTATCGCTTAATCTGCTATTAACGTTCACGCGATCTTACGAGGTAACATATACAATAGTATTTCCAATGATTTTCTTTCTTCTTTCCAGTCTAATCTCGTTCGGAATTTGTTCAATTCCGCTATAGTTGTTCCCTATAGAAACAACGTGCACGTGCGTATATATGCACATACGCATGCATATACGAGAGGTATAAATGGCACCAAGTTTTCATTAACAGATTCCTCGTGGTTGTCTCTGTTTCTATCGCTATAGCTTTCGTACATTTATATCGCGTTATCGTTTATCCATGTACGTATGTACTACGTAGTACCTATGCTGTTTATCGGCTATCCATAGGCATACCACCGTATGGCATATTAGTTTTCGGTCAGGCTTCGAACGAATAAGGCGCGTGTTTGTTCGAATATAAGGAATAGCTTGATAGGAAACAGGCTGATCGATTACCTCGGAATTGCTAGTTGCGACACTGGAAAGTCCTGGAGACATTGCACCAGTTGTAGGATCTGGACTAGCGGCAACCGGATTACCGTGCGACAATATCGTAGGACCGTGTGGATACGAGGCCAGATGAGGATGCTGCGGCTTTGGATGATGTATCGTTGGCCCCGGTGGTGCACTCTGTACAACCATTGGCGCGGATGTCGGCACAGCTTCGACGGAATTTCTACCGAGGATGCTGCTTTCATCTGCAGCAGCGGCGGTACCGTTGCCGCGGAAAGACTCGTGAAGATATTGCCGAACTTGATTCTTCTGCTTTTGAACAACGTGATAGCGTGTCGGATTTTCCAACAGTGTCCGTACCTGCGAACAAAAGTGACGCGACATGGTAAATCGATCGATCGATCCCCTTTCTCTTTCTTTAACGGCATTTCCCCGTTAAACACGCGCGTGGTTAGTTCTCGCTCTAACGAGTCTAATATTCACTTTGGTTATTACCGTGAAACTATACGCGTATATATGATACATAGTTGTTGTCGTGCTGTGACGGTTTACTTCGTAATGGTGACAAGTTTCCATCCACGCGTTCCCATTCAGTTGTTTATTCCTTGTCTATCCGACCTTTCCCTTTCTTTTTTCCTTCTCCATTTTTTCCCTTTTTTATTTTCTTTAAATTAATTAAACTTGCTGAAAGGTACGAGAAAGAAAATACGACATATGTACATGTATATATATATATACGTATACATACTTGGAAGACGCGAGTATCGTATTCTAGAACGATTTGCCTTTATTAGGCATTTAGATAAGAAAAAAGCAGTGTAACTACGCGATATCTTTCTCCATTCTGCTGGTATTAATCACGTTATTCTGTAATAAATTCTTTAAACTTTACTACGAAAACGTCGAAAGTTTGAATCACGCGTTTGAGCACGTGTTGCCTCGATACCTCATTCACGCATTTACACACACATATGTCTGGAGGACATGATATCGTATTCATAGGATCCACGCATCGTCGTCATCGTCGTCATCGTCGTCATCGTCGTAACCAAGTAGTATGCATTTGTCAACTAGTACTAGCGCACACACACGCATTTCTCTGTTTATACATGCAATGAGAGAAAGAAATAAAAATCGGTTGGAATAACGGGGAACGAGAGAGTCGACGATTGTGCACACGCAAGGATAAAGACATACCTGTAAAACTTGCGGTGGTACATCTACCCCGATGGTGGAGAGCGTGGTAGAAGGTACGGGTCTGGGAGGTGCAGCCGTTGGTCTCTGTTGCTGCAAATTCTGACGGAATTCAGCCTCTCGCCTCTCCTGCTCCTGCAGCTGTTCTCGCATCAGCTGAAGTTTTAGTTGCGTACGTGAAGTGGGTGTCGCAGTCTTAAACGTAGGTGGACTGAAAATCATCGAAAAGGAATCGATTTTATGCACGCTGTACTCTACTCCTTCCAACCAATCTACAAAACGCGTAGACTTTTTACGCGATTCATAAGTTCGTTACTCGTTTGGTTAGTTTTTACCCTTAATAATTCATTCTGACCATGGAGTTATCGTCTTCCGCGAGTTGCGATAGCGAGATTAGAAACATCGAATGGTCATTCTCGACTGTTCCACGCTTTCTCCACCTTCTGCTATACCGGTAAACGAACGAGAAGAAAATATGAAAATAGTCCGAGATGGCTCGCACACGTATACGCGTTACTCGCCATAGCGTACGTTACACCCGATTGCAAGTGTGGGAATCTAAAAAATAAGTTATGCTTTTATGTACCGAGGTTGCGACACGTTACATCGAAATATACATACATATAATATAATATACATATGTATGCGTGTGTATGTCGTATATGATCCAGGAACGGACCTTACTTTTTCCCACTCTTCTCCGCCTGTGACAGCGTTTACGTCTGTTGAATCGAAAAATATTTATCCCTTTTTATTATTGGATAAAAAGCATTGTTTGTGTATGATAGTCGGCACCGAGTTAACTAGATCGTCCCATAGCCGGACGATAGAGTGTCTGTCGTAGGGAATCTAAATGGTAGAGATGTATACATGCATGTATATATGTATATGTACAAACACGTTTGAAACTCGCGTTCAAGCGGAATGCTTTGCAAGAGATAAACGCGTAGAAATTGCACGACGTTCCGACAAGAGGTCGTATTAACAAGTCGCCTAAAAGGTATTCCTGATTTGGGAACACGGCCAAATTATAGCCATAAGAAAACCAAAATAGAGAGATTGCGCAATTTGGATCGAGATTCGATTCTTCTCCTCCGACTCGCGATTTTTTCTTCCGGACAACGCGCATCAAAATGATCGGAAGCATAACGCGTTAACGCGTTAATCTCTGTGTCGTTTGTTTCAACGCGATCGAGACTTTGTCCATTTTGTATATTTCTCGTGCAACTGTTACGCGTTACATAATCATCTTGGACGAAAAACTTAACGAGTTGCTCTATATATTCCTTCCTTCTTCTTTCCTCCTCTATCGATTCTTCCTCGTTTACGCCATTCCCCGCTTTTCTTCTGTTCACGAGCGACACATTTTCGTTTCTACATTTCTCCTGATTGCACCCTTGTAATAGAGAAACGACACGACGATTTTTATCCCTCTTTCCCGTGGTTTCTCGTCTGATGTCCAAATTTGAAAAATTCTCTCAGAGAACGCATCGCCTTATCGAGCATTTGCTCGAAAGAAGGAAAGAAGGAAAGAAGGAAAGAAGAAAGAAAAAAGAAGAAAGAAGAAGAAAGAAGAAAGAAGAAAGAAGAAAGAAGAAAGAAAGAAAGCGATAGGCATATTATAACGTGTCGAGAATAGAATGAATGCCGAATGAATGGCACGTACGTGAAAGAAAAGTTTTATTTACCGACAATCGATATCGAGAATCTCTATCGACTCTATACCGTGTTGCGTACATAGAATTTCACATGGGTATTTTTTATTTTTCAAGAAAACAAGAAAACAAGAAAACAAGAAAACAAGAAAACGTCGCATAATATTCCCATGTTTTCGTTCGACGAGATAGAACGTTTGAAATTAGTCAGAGATAAAACAAAGAAATAGGGAAAATGTTGAGGGCGTTACTCGGAAGCATGGAAACGAGAGTCGTGTAAGTACGTTATACTTGCGGTATACCGCCAGGTTCACGAAACACATCTACGCGCAAGAACCAAGGACGCATTTATATTTAGACCTAATGTTTACGGTCGACAAGAATGTAGACGTAGCGGTAAACGGAAACGGACAGGCGGACACGCGCGCGCGATCATCTCTCGTTCAACGAGAACAATCCCTCGACGATGATTTTCGTCATTCGAACGTAGTCAGTACTGCGTGTACGTGTTCACGAGTAAATATCGGAACGAATATCAAGAAACAAAGGGTATGGATTGGATAGGTGGATAGTACGGTTGATATGGATGAATAGTTTGTTGTAGATGGATGGATGGTTGGACTGGAATGGATGGAACGGAGAAGAAACGAAAAAGCGAGCAATTAAAGACGGGAAAGAGAGAATGAAAGTGATAAGGTGTAACGATAATCGGAGGAATATACGAACGATGCGATTGCGATGGAGAAATTAGATGAAAGGAGGTAGAAAATTAAGAATGAAGATATGCGTAAAGCGTTGGATGAACCTCGAACCGTTGTAACAATTCTGTACCAGCCTTGCGGGCGAGTAGATCGTAACGGCCGTGCAAATGCAACGTGACCATTGTTCCGAGAATTGGCGTGCAATAGGGACGACGTGGGCATTCCGTCAACGATCGACGGATCCATTTCGAGGATCATGCGCAGATCCTCGTCGATACCGATATGCACACGCACGTGTTGCTCCTGTTCTCCTTGTTCTCTCTCTACGATCTTTCCCTTTTTCTGTCGACGATCAGAAACGGATGATGGACAACTGATCATTCGAACGGCGGACTCGTCGTTGTTTTCGATGTTCAAACACGCGCACATTAACGAACAGTTGCAATCTTGAATATAGCGTCGCGATAATGGAATTGAGTTAAACGACGGTGATCGTTGTTTGCTCGGGAACAGTACCGATGTCGATGTCGATGCCGATGCCGATGCCGATGCCGACGCCGATGCCGACGCCGACGCCGACGCCGACGCCGACGCCGACGCCGACGCCGACGCCGACGCCGACGACGATGCCGATGTCGATGCCGATGCCGACGTTGACGTCGGCATAGGCACCGTATTCGATACTGATTCCGAGACTACGGAACGTGGAACTAGCAACGATCCGGCAGTACTCGTCCAATTGGACAGTGTTTTCGTCGTTGTCGTCGTCCCTGTTTTCGTTAACGTAGTTGCTATGGTGGTCGCCGTTGCAGCTATCGTCACAGCTGAGCCTCCTATTCTTCTCTCGATACTGGTAATCGTGCTATTCAACGAACGGCCAACGTCGTTTATTCGATTCAATCGCGACACTAAATCCTCGAATTCGACAATTTGCCGCACTGCCTCGGTTATCTCTTGCATGTCCTCCGAAGGACGTGAAAACGTTTTACGGCCAAACTAGCCGAGGAGCCGCGCCGCTACTAAGCCAGATGTCGCGTCTCTTTGTTGTGAACATCGCGTCGACGACAACGACGCTGTCAGCTACGAAAAACCGACCATTGCTCTAAACCTGGATTCGTTATACTCTTCTCTCTTTTCTACTCTTTCCATTTCGCTCAGTGTACGACTTTTGCGCATTCGCATATTCGCGCCAAATCCCGTTCAACGCCTAAACACCGTCTATAAACTCGACGTCGACACCTGGCTATCCAAGAGCAGAATTCACAGGATGGAATATAACGCGATCGAATATCCATTGAATTGCGCTCAGTTTCTCTTTTTTTCCGATTTTTTCAAATCTCTGCCAACGCGTATTTTGCGTGCAATTTTTCAACTTGGACCAGTTATTCGCGTGGTACCCATGCGAATCGAAGTTTATCATATGACGAAACATTTTTCGAAACATTTCAGAGAGAGATCGTTCGCTTTTGTGGAATGTCACGAAGCGTGGGTTGGTTGCTCCATAATCGTTCCGACGCTTCATCCAAGATCGAAATTTGGATCGAAAGTGCGAGTGCGCAACGCGAATAGGTCTGTTACGAGTTGAGCCGAACGTGAGCCGAGTTGAGTCGATGTATCGCGAATGGAGCCGATTCAAGCCGAAGCAAAGTAAAAGCGCACAGAAGACGGAGACAAGCGAAGAATGAAACAACTTGTAATCAAAGAAGTTGCGAGTCGGTGAATCGAGATGCGAGCGTAAAATTGTTCGAGTTAAGAAGCTAGTTGGACGAATCGATCTACGCGTAAAACGTTCCGCTCCATCTGTGTGTCGTGATCGGAAATTTTAAACGTACAACGATACAACATACCTGTCGATATTCGGTGCTCGACTCTTTAATTCGTAGTACATGATGTCTTGCAGCGGTGTCGACAAAAACGATAAAGCCTGTTCCCAATTCTCGTGGTTATTTCTATCTGCATTTTCTTGTTTATCACCGCAATTTGCTTCACCGATACCAATTATTCCGTTTTGTTTCTCTTGACATCGACGATCGCACAAATCTGCTTCGCGTTGCTCCAAATCAGCGGTAATTGCTGCCAGATCGAAACCCATGTCAATTCCAGATTCCTCCATTCTTGTACTTTTACTACTAAAAGTAGTAAAGTTTGTATTAAAGGAAAGTCGCGACGCGACGCGCCGCGGATTGTAGCGTCGCGACGCCACTCGCCGCGAACAAACTAGGATCTACGATACTTTTCTCAACGAAACGATCGCGATTACGAGACACAGCGATGTTCTCGAGTTTTGCTTTCTAGCGTGGCGCCTCCCCACTGGTAGAAGCTAGGACGCGCGTGTCGAGCGATAATCGGAGCGAGAGACGAAAGAGACGGGAGAGACGGGAGCCGCGAGTTGTGCGAGAACTGCGAACCGATCGGCGACGAGCGGGGGTCACGTTCGTTACTCTCCACTATCCACGCTACCAGATGCTCGATGCCCGTTGCTTTCGATGTTCCATGCTCGATCTCGGCTCAATGCCCAACCATTCACGCAACGAGGGGACAAGAGACGAGTAGATCACGAGTTTCTCGCCAACATCCGCCATCTCTCCCCTCTCTCCACCAACTACACTTGCCCTGCTATTCTCTGTATCCCGTCCCTCGCAGCCACATCATCCACTGCTATCGCTGTTAATATGTATGTATCGCGAGAGAAAGCGGACAAACGAGAAACGGCTAATAGAAATTTGACCGTTGACCGTACATGCCGGTAAATAATTTAATAACGTGGAAAAATATTGAAAAATATCGAAAAATATCGAAAAATATCGAAAAATAAGATGAAATTGTAGGAATTTGAAGACATCGCGGTTCGTGGATTAGGAACAATGTAGTGAATCAATGTAATGATCGTGAACGAACACCAACGATACGAGGGCGATCGTTCACGAAGGAACGTCGATGGAAGCGTGTGCAAGTTTCGATCCCTCCTTTTTAAAAGTATCACGATTTCTAGCAAGTACAGCCATCTTACGACAAACTCTTCAATCTTTCTTGTTAATCGCAATTCACGCAATCTCGTGGACGACACTCCAGTCCCTCTTCTCTTTGCCTCCTAATTTTCTTCATATTGCCACTCCGCATTACGATGCAAGAAAGTCAACTTGCTGGAATAATATGTAATAATTATAATATTTGCTTGTTTAAAAGGGAAAAATTGCGAAAGCAGAAGCCACATTAAAACGATGATGCTTTTTCGTTTATTCGTGACGAAACAGACCATCCGTAGACGTTGCATCGAGCGCTGCAAATATTATTGTACGAGATTTCGCGAATATACAGCGAATATAGAACGCGTTGGAAATAATGCAAGTCTTCGCGGTCTTCTTATTTCCGTTGTGCTTATGTATTTGCGAAATTCGTAAAATTGCTGACACCGTAACGCCGGTGTATATGGAATATGAAACGAGAACGGTAATAACGCCGTGTGCTCTGTTCGAATCGAAATAACGAATACTCGAACCAGTCGATCGAATTACACAGGAAACAACGATCGCGTGTTATCGACCCGATTTATAGTCCGGTATATTTCTATCTGATCCACGATGTATATTCGTCTTTGTGTTCTCGTGGTACTCTTCTTAGAGGTATGCGTTACTCGTGGAATTCAAATGTTTGATAAACAAAATCGTTTTCCACAAGAAATATCGAGGAAGCTGGACGAATATTGGAACTCGTATAAGGTATATATTGCATATCGCAGTGTGTTTCATGTCCCTTCTGAATTATTTGAAGCTTCGTCGACGAAACAAGCCAGCATGTTCCATCGTGATATTTTATCTACGCAATTGTCATATCGATATACCGTTCTTGTCTGTTCTTGTAGATCCGTTATAATAAAAGTTACTCTGGAAATCTAGAGACTAACCGACGGATGACTTGGGAAGAAAATCTAATAACCATCTATAAACACAATATGATGGCAGCTGCAGGTCATCATAGTTACACATTGAAAGACAATCATATCGCCGATCTCGGGACCAGGCAATATATTCGCGAAATGGTTGGTACTCGAACGGTTCGAAAGTTGCAACAGTTCCTGCTGTTTTATCTCGGTAGAGAGAAATTTATCAAAAAATTCAGTATACAGATATTTTTACTTTTTATTTATATAGATATAGTATATGTATATGAAAAATGGTGAAAAAATGGAGAAAAAATGGGGAAAAAATGGAGAAAAAATGGAGAAAAAATGGAGAAAAAATGGAGAAAAAATGGAGAAAAAATTCTCCTCCCTGGTTCAGCGGTTTCGTTTTCATTTTATTTATTTACAGGTAAAACTGATTCCTAGTCGTAAGCGGCGTGTATCGAAAGAAACGATGGTTGGAGCAAGTTTACACGATCCACGACGTATTGCACCACGACTAGATTGGCGCGAAGCTGGATTTCAAACGAACCCGGAAAATCAAAAAGACTGTGGAAGCTGTTACGCGTATTCGATAGCCGGCAGCATTCAAGGGCAAATTTTCAAGCAAACAGGCATGTTGATTCCATTAAGTGAACAGCAATTGATCGATTGCAGTACATCGACCGGAAATTTAGGCTGTTCCGGAGGCTCCTTGAGAAACACACTAAGATATCTCGAGAAGGCAAAAGGTTTAATGGCCGAGATACATTATCCGTATAAAGGACAAGTACGTTTCTATCTTCTCTCTTTTTCTCTTTACCTTCTTTTCCTACCATCTTCTTCCCTTTCCTCTTTGCGTAAATTTTTAATACGGAATGAGATTCTTTATTTCGTTCTTTTGCTCCCCCGTCCGAATGTGTATGACTAATGTATACGATTACGCTTGGATTAGCCGTATCGAGATTTTCGTTATTTTGTTTCTTCGTATTTCATAACGCTTATCTCCAAATACCGATTTAAATATATACCGTGGCTGATGTAAGAAAAACATTTTTACGAAAAGTGTACACATCGGAAATTCACGAATATCAACAAACGTAACGCAAAAGGATGGATATTCGTCGAATTATATTCGGATTACGTATACCGTCGATATAATACGTGTATATTAGCAACAAAGAAAAAAGAAAAAAGAGGAGAAAGAATTGTACGAAAAAATAAGTAAATCACTCTTAAACGCGTTTATGTTTCGAAAATAGCAAGGTGCTTGTCATTTCAAAGAAGACCTGAGCGTAGTCAACATCACTTCATGGGCCGTGTTACCGGCACGCGACGAAAAAGCTTTAGAAGCTGCTGTGGCGACTATAGGTCCAATAGCTGCGTCGGTAAATGCCAGTCCAAAAACCTTTCAACTTTATCAGTGAGTATTCCTTTTTTTTTGTTATTCCTTATCGCTGTTTGGAAGTTTTAATGGTTTGGAAATTGTAATAGTGCATCGAGTGATTTCTTTTATCGCGAGGAAGTCGAATCATCGATTTAGTATCAATTATGGTTTTCGTGTAATTCTTATATGGATATAAGATAATAATTAGACTTTGACGAGTAGAGCATGGAGAGAGCAAGGGAAAAAAGGATTGGGGTGGAAATGGAGTTGAAGATGTGGAAAAATAAGGGTAGCGAAGAAGACAAGGGGAAAGAAAGGAAAGAAAGAAAGCATTTTTGGTATTTCAAGCATAATAGTAATTGACTGATGTTCGGTAAATGTTTACGCGAAAATACGTAAACTTGTATCATCCCCCTCTGGTAGATACTCGAAGAAATTGGTCCACTTGCGCGATAACCTTTAGTGCATCGTTTATGCGATGACTCTGAAGCAGTAGAATAAAGTCAGTGAACTTGCATGTGGAAAGTAAAAAGGGCGCGGTCGTTCTATCCGAGATCTATATATGCAATTTTCTCTTCCTTCCACTCTCATTTCATTTTCCTAGTATCTACATTATGTCTTTTTCTTCTTCTTCCATTTTCATTCTTTCAAAGTCTCGCAACTGTCAAGTGCTTAACATTTCTTCATTTGATTGTTTTTCGCAGCAAAGGGGTCTACGATGACGAACTTTGTAGTTCGGACATGGTGAATCATGCTATGTTGATCGTTGGGTATACGCCAACCGAATGGATCTTGAAGAACTGGTGGGGCGATGAATGGGGTGAAAACGGATACATGCGCCTGGCTAAAAACAAAAATCGATGTGGCATAGCTAATTATGCGGCGTATGCAAAAGTTTAACTGAACGGGAATAAAAAAAGTAAAAAGAAACGCGTCTACGAAGTATGACCGGGTTTATATCTTTTTACCTCGAATATAAATACGATTGTATTCAAATATTCGAAGATTTTATCAAAGCTTCGACATCTCTAAATTAACGATATTACAGAATATCGTATATTTCTTCTTTTTGGTTTTCTTTCCTTTCATTTCGATCGACTGTTTGATCGTTAAAGGAAAAACGAGTCGTCGTGGTTAGAACTGGGTAGGAACTATTATTTGAAAACGTGGTTCACTTGGACAACTCGTAAAATCGTCAAACTATTCGATTTATCGACTTTCCATCTCTGAGGAGTAAAATGGTTACTACGTACCGACAAGGGTAGCACGATCATTCTCGGAAGCAATAGTTTCTCACCCAGCCTTGACTTGAGCCGGCAAGTAGACATTTTCTCGGAGATAATTCTCCGATTATCTATTAGCCGCGTGCGAAACAAAGTTTCAGCGAGAAATAAACATTTATCGCAAAGAGACATACGCGTAACTACGTTTAAACGTGCGCTCATGAATGCAATCGTCGATCGAATATATATATATATATTTCATAGATGGAATTTATTTATAACAAATTATACCATAGTACACATGTGCGTGCGTTCCGTTTGTGGGGAAATAGCGGCAGGTAGGAAAAGACTGATAATTTACGATCTTGCTTATCGATCGGATTATTGCAACGTTTCGAATTCTCTTCGGTTAGCTGAAATAGTCGAGAATGTAGGTGAAGGAGATGACAAAGGGGACGATGAAGACGACGAGGCAAAGCATGTTCGTAGCGCGTGTTTCCATCAACGATATCAGTACGATTCGTCTCTGTCCAATCCGCTGTATTCTCCGCTCATGGAGCAAAGTTCAGACTGTACCAAGAATCGATGCGTGACTAAACCATCCGAACGATGTATCTTCAGTCTTCGCGAATGAGTTGCTTGAGTTGTTGGATTGGCAAACAGGACGGGACCAACCGGGAAGATACAACCGAGGACGGATTAGCGAGTTATTAGGTGGGTCAAATAATGATCTTTACTCGTTGAGCGACCGATCGTTCTTGAGCTCGAACACTGAAGATTTCTTTGTAAAAAGGAAGGAAGGAAGGAAGGAAGGAAGGAAGGGAGGAAGGGAGGGAGGAAGGAAGGGAGGAAGGAAGGAAGGAAGGAAGGAAGGAAGGAAGGAAGGAAGAAAAGAGGGTAAAGGGAAAAGAAAAAGGGAGAAGGGTGGAAGGAAGAAAAACATGATAAAATATGGATAAATGAGACGAGTTGGATTGGAATTAGCGAAATCGTTAGCGATTCTTTCCGCGTACGATGCTAGTAACGAAACGAAAAGGTCAAAATAATCGATGTGTTGCTCGATGGGAAAACAGTGGATATTCCACGATCAGAGAAATAGTCCGAAATAATGTCGAAGAGTTAAATCGATGAGACGGAGAAAAATCTGTGGGAAAAGAGGTACGAGTGGTATATCGATATCCGTAACAAGTAGAACGATGCGTCTAATTCAACGACTATTGTTATTTTCTTTTCTTTTGCCGAATAATCAAATCGAAGGTATTTGGCCCAAAGTCACGAATCCCTTGCCTTCAGTTTGGTGGAATTTTTATTCGCGTTCGAGCAGTTCCTCGAGTTCTTCGTTGTCATCTTTCGAGAAGGAAGACTGCGCCGGATGTACGCAAAATAAAGTCGGTTTGATCAGCGCGACCGATTCAATTTTAACAGAGCTAAGAGTCGAATATGTCAAACAACAAATCCTCAAGAAACTACGGCTTTCTAAGCCACCCGAGATATCGATGTCGCTCTCGACCTTGCCGAAGCCTCTGATAAATGGTCGTGTGCTCGAACTTCGACCCGGAGCGCCGCTTGAACCGGAAAAATCAATCGACAGCTTCTATGGAAAAACCGATCAGATCGTTGTTTTTCCAAATGAAGGTCAGTCTTTATTAAATTCAACATTTTTCACGAATTTTACGAAACATTTCTATATAATAATTAAGACAAGGAGAAGGTAAACTGAGGAGAGAGGGGGATTTTCTATATAATCGTATATTAATTTACATAAGCTAATTAACACGAGAAATTTTGTATTTACATTTTTTCCGTAAAATAGACATTTATTTCTTATAACTTTCGCAATTACGATTTCATCTATCTCTTCGCGATGTCAATTGTTGACTATTAAAGTTACAGATAGATGGTTAAAATAGCGCAATACGATTTACGAATTAATATCTTCTAGTTGTTTATGTTTGATGCCGCATGCTCGTAAATCCAAGTTTTTCTTTGCGGGAAACAACTTTCCGGTAATAACCGCTTCAGTTCAGAATCCATGCGTGTAGAAGATAAAACCACTTCATCGAAACATATATAATATATTAATATTACAATATAAATATATTACATATTTATATATTACATATTAGTAAAAAATAGCGGCGTATCTCCTAAATATTCTCTCTCTCTCTCTCTCTCTCTCTCTCTCTCTCTCTCTCT